AGGCCATGAATATTGAAATCACTTCTGAGGCTATGAGACTAAACATATTGCAAATTAAAGCTGCTCGTGCCCAAGCACACATGCTATTGCAAAGGTTTGTAGCCTTGCGGGAGCTGAGGCCAACCCAGATGTTTTGGACGTTTTGGACAACTCATCTGAGCCCAGTGACACAGAAAGGACCTCTGACCATTTGCACTTCTTCTGAGGAGAGGGACACCCTTCTAGCTGCTTGGGAAGGGCCATTTCAGCTGGGTCTCTGCCCCAGACATGGGTAACACATCATGCAATGATGTCCTGACTTGGTACCTACACTTGAAGCTCTCCCACCTCCACTCTTGCCACCAAAAGGTGAATGTGACAACACTTAGTTACACTTCAACCACGAGCACGAGCTGCGCGCAGCTCCAAGGAGAAATACTAGAAATAACAGGCTGGGAATTTATGTTGCATATCTGTTTTGCTCTCAAAAGGCAGCACCTTGGAATGCAAAATAATCCTGTTTCAGGGCATGCAAAGAGCTGCTGCTTTKTTATTTTATTTTTTAAGATGTATCTGATGTTTGCCTTGTCAAAAGGCAGGAGGGAGCAAGCACTCATCTGCCCCGCTCACATGTTAGGCGGGTATCAAACAAGGCTTAAAAGCTTAGACTGCATCATRTTTATGATGCTTTCTATGACAGTCATTCCAAGAATTTATGGACCAGAATTAATAGCATATAAACACCAACTGAATGCCTCTAAGTATCCTTAAATAAACTTCTCCAGATTTTTGGCACGTCGCACTCAAAGGAAATGAAATTTCCTGAAAAAAAAGTCAATAATGGGATACCATAATAAGGGCTCTGTAGTTTTGCAGCTCTTAGTTTAAACTAAGAAGTATTTTTAAGGAATTTATTTTATGGTCTGTCTCCTCAGTTGGCAGCTATTGACCTGTAACACCTTTTAACCAGAAATGATCAAATGCACCAACTAGGCGAGAGCAACAGCTAATTCAACAGGTTCGAAATGTAACTCACGTCACAGATGAGCGAGAACCTTTTCATCACTGAAGGGTAGATAAAATGCTAGAGTTAAGTAAGTTCTCATTAAAAACTAAAAAGCAAAACCGGAAAATAAATTTGAAACCCCTATTTGCACATCCCATTGCCATCCTCTAGATCACTGTTACTTCTAATGGCAGAGGCTGGTSGAGGTCAGACCACAAATGAATTCTGCAGTGCTCTTGCCAAGCTCGGCCTTGCCATGTCCCCTGTGCTTGGTCTCTTATTTCTTGGCAATGCTGGGGACTGCAAAGAAAGCAAGGGTGGGTGCAGCATCGCTTCCAGCTCGAAATACAGCCTTTTTAATGGGAAAACAATGCAAGGGCTACAGCATTATCTCACCCGGCTTCCGAAGATGAGGCTCTCCAAGGCCCCTGCTCTTGCACCACGTCCTTTGTTTTCATGCAGATGCTAGTGGAGGCCTCGGTTCTCCRTGAAGCCAGGCAGCCCCCAGGCTCCTCCAGCAAAGCCCTCTCGTCAGCTTTGAGCATTTGGCCCAAAAAACCTCTCAATCCCTCCCCATCCCTCTTCTCTCCCTTCTTTTCAAGTTAAATATCTACCTCGGCTACTCAGCCACAGCCACGGAGGCCCATGAGAAACACAACGAAGGCRGCACAAAGAGACACACCTGAGTTCGCTGCAGGGAACTTAAATTCCTTGCTCAGTGAACCCAAAACTGGCACGCACTTTCCTGGCATCAGGCAGCCTGAAGATACCTCGGATGTGCTGCAAACACTACGTTGGTCGCAGAGCAGATCCAGCCAACGGAGGCTCCTCTTTCCAAGCCAATCTCCAGCCTACACGTGGTTCTGAGAGCAGAGCACCGTGCTGGACACCAAGGTCCCACACATGGCAACGAGGACACACGGTTAACTGCAACTACCAGGCCCCCAACTACTCAACTGCAGATGAACTTCAACTGTGACGATTGTTTTTCCCCAGGAAATGAGTTATTTTCATAAAAGAYGCCACCTTTTCAGGTTTTAATGATATTTCCTTAATCTATACTCTTATCAAATAGCCAAGTTTTTCTTGAAAGAGATGATTACAGTTCCCTCTTTATAAAAGCAGCAACTCCATCATTTCTCTGCTTTAGAAAGAGCTTCTAGGTTAGAAATAATTCCTTCCTTACAGAACATCCTTCCAATTAGGATGTGTGGTCAAAAAGACAAATTCATCATATTGCTACATCCATTATTTCACCTCCCAGTTCAATAATAAGTTATGACCCTAGTCTATAACTATGATGAAGCAAAAGGGGATTAGAATTTATGAAATGCAAAATGAGGGCAAATAATTAAAAAAAAATAAGTTTGAGAATGAGTCACTGTTCGGAACAACACGAGCCTCTTCCTGGTCAACTATCTCATGCGGATCCATCAGACAGTTACCTTAGAGATACACTCAACAGTTGCACACCCTGGCAATGCAACAGATTATCAGTTTCCAGGCTTTGGTGTCAGCCACTGAGTGGCAGCAATTCCCTCACATCCAAATCCAGATTAGCAGATCGAGGATGCAGCGCTGGAAGTCGCTAGCTCTTAATGCCGTTACATTAACTTCATGTAAAGCCATGAAAAGCAAAGGAAAGCATCCCTAATTTAAGGTTAACACCGTTCCAAAAGTCACACACTTTATTCTGATCATCCTGTCTCTACCATGCAGATGCTCAGTGGACCCAGTTTTACAGAGAGGTAACTGAAAACAAGAGGAAAACTTCCCAATCAAATAACCTGGTCAAGAAAAACATTATAAAAATGCTAGCACTTAATTGCTTCTTAAAGCAGGGCACAGAGTTGTATTTTTAATGGATTTTTACTTTCRAAACGCAATATCCAAAGTGAGCAGATCAAATGTGAAAAAGGCCAAAATAACCCCTCAAAACAAGCCTCTAAGTTACGTGTTTCCACTTACCGGGTTTTCTCTTCCCGCAGCGTCTGCAGGTTGCTCACAGCAGAGGAGATAACTGCAGCTCTACCAGCCAGAAACACCAAGCCTAGTTTTTCTTCAAAACAACCATTTTCAGGAACTAAGTTACAGGAAATATTGCACGGAGGCTTCTAGAGATGCCCACGAATTGCTGCTGGCCGCTCGGGAAGCGTTTCCCGGGCCCCATTCCTAAAGCCCTCCCGTTTTCTTGGGGACCCCACATTAAGGGGGGTCCCCTGGGGTCCCCAGGCCCCACTGGGCTCTCGCTGCCTCCTCCCTGTCCCCGACACAGGCCCGGGGTGGCCTGAAAGGAACCGGGCAAAACCCAGGAGYGCCCAGAACTTACACAGGGCCCCTCCGTAAGACGTCAAACACGATGATTTGAGCTTTAAATTAATCCCTGAGACAAGGAGCGGGTTTAAGGGGAGCAGCGCCAACTCCACAGGCGCTTGTTTGGAGTTTCCCGCATCCCACAGCGAGCGCTGGGAAAGGCTCCAGGCAGGAGGATCCTTCACCCCGAGACCCAGGGCACCCGCTCGGTGCCCGGGGTGGGGGGACCAGCGATCCCCGGCCTCGAGGGGGACCCTTTGGCCGCAAAGGCGCCTTTCCCTGGGTATCCCCGCCGCGCCCCGTCCCGGCCTTTCCCGCAGGGAGCTCCCTGGAACTCGGGGACAAAGTCCGCCCGCCCGCAGCGGGGGCGGCGGGAGCCATGGAGGGCGCCGAGCGCAACATGGAGGCGCCCCC